TACCTACAAACAAAAAGTAAAAATAAACAAAGTCAAAATAACGTTAGAAGTCATCCCATAATTTGCATGATTTAGTTTTTCAACAATTACTATATGGATTCACACATTGTCGATTTCCAATCCTCAAGGAGCCTTAGATGAAGTGAAATATCTTTGAATGCATTGAGGTTTCCATCAGACTCAAAGGGTTGTATAGAAGACATTTACAAGTAGTTCAACATGTATTACAAAGATGATCATTCATTACAAAGTAAAAGCCTAGTACATCACACTAAGTACATCAACATGGTAGCATTCAAGTCCCTAGTAAAATCTGACTCCTAAATCTTTCAAAGTACAATTGTCTAATGAGAAGTTCCATTTTTTTCCTTGATGAATCCCTTGATTGTTAGAGCAACATGAAGTGTGATATGCTTGAGCTTTTGATGTTTGAGGCTATTCTTGGTTCTTGTCCTTCTAAGCTTGCCCCTTGGACTTAGCAATTGTCAATGACGAGAGAAAAATGTTTGCAGTTGAAGATCTCCTGAACCCTTTGTTGGTCAAAGCTTTCTCCACAGATGAATATTTCAAAAGTGCCTTGACTAACAAAAGATTCGCGCTTGACTATGTATGAATCCATATTTCAATTATTGAAGAGAATCAAACAAGATTATGGGAATGCACGACAAGAAATAAACATGGATGCTAAACAATAGATGAAGGATGCAAGAACATACATATGCTCTAAAGTGGTAATGTGTGTGGAGTTGTATCCTAAAACATAGATTTTAGGGAATCTAAGAAAAGAAATAAATGTGGATGGAAAACAAGAGATAAAGGATGCAGAAACATAAATATGCTCTAAAGTGATAATGTGTGTGAAGTTGTATCCTAAAGCATGCATTTTTTGGGAATCCAAGAAAAGAAATAAACATGGATGGGAAATGAGAGATAAAGGATGCAAGAATATAAATATACTGACAAGTGGTAATGTGTGTGGAGTTGCGAAGTTCTACCCTAGGACATGGATTTTTCTTCATTAAGTATGCCAAGCAAGTTCCAAAGGAGAAGTTGATGATTCACTATTGCAACCCATTAAATTGGCATTCATAGGGAATATCATTCCTTTGAAAAGAAAGCAAATGCCATGAAGCTTGAAGAAAAAGTGAATGGTGTGATACTTGGAGAAAATGGATGATGTGATGCTCCAAAATCATGTGCTCAAATTATTTTGATGTCTAAAAGATGGACCTTTCGTGAATTTATCTTGGAAGAACCTCTTTTTCTTTTTTTCTTTTCTTTTTTTTTTTTTAATGTGAAATGCTTTGGATTTAGTTGAATAAGACCCACAAGTTTGAAACATGCAAGTATAAATCTCTTGTAGAAAAATGCAAGATGGTGAGAACTTTGAAGGAGAGCTTGGACAAATTTTTTTTGTTGAAAATCATGACTTGAAAGATCTGATTGAAGAACAAGAAAATATGAGGATCAAATTTGATTTTATTCTAAACATGAAATGAGCATGAGATGAATGTCAATTTGACATGGGATGGAAAATGTGATGTAAGGTTGAATATGAGTTGCAATGAAAAATGGGATTGAATGAGAACTGAAAGCTAAACATGGATAAGATTTTTTATTTTTATGCAATTTTTGTAAAGTATAAGACAATGAAAGATAATAATGCTTGAAGTAAAATGCAAGATGGAAGATGCAATGCAAAATGCATGTGAATGAAATTTTCATTCTCATTTTCATTTCTAGGCATTTGTTTTTGAGTTGTGAGATGGAAATAGTGGTGGTTGGAATGAAATATGTGATGAAAAGTGGGATGTGAAATGAACACAGAAGAAATTTTCACTTTTATGCAAAACTTTTTTCTTTTTTTTTTTTTAAGAAATGTGAGAAAGATGAGATGAAGAAACATGCGAAGGAAACTAAAAACATGAAATAGAGATAGATGAAATTTTCATTTTTTTGCATTTTTCTCCTTCTTCTTCTTCTTCTTTTTCTTTTTTTTTTTTTT